CAGCTCAGGGGAAGCCACTGTTTCCTTGCACCCAACTTCCTTCTTATCTCACAAATGTTTAAAAGTGCTTCTTCCATGCTTTTTGATATGGCTTTTTATTAAACTGTTTTTTTTTAAACTCAGTTCACTGTAGATTATAAAAATTCAATACCTTAAGGATCTTGTTGAGCAGGTTCCAAAGAAATGAAAAATAGAAGTGGGGGCCTGTGGTCTGAATGAAGGAGGTAAAGGCACTTGCTTCCAAGCATACTTGGGTTCAATCCCTGAGACCTGCAGAGTGGAAGGAGAGAACCAACTCCTGAAAGTTGTCCTCTGACCTCCACGTGTGGGCTGTGGCACACACACACCTCCACAACTAAGTATATTTTTAAGGAAGTAGAACTAGAGACATTTCTTACTGCTCTGCCATGAGAAGTGGAATTGTCTTAGTCAGGGTTTCTATTGCTGTAAAGAGACACCATGACCAAGGCAAGTCTTATAAAGGAAAACATTTAACCTCACAGTTCAGAGGTCTAGTCCATTATCATCATGATGGGAAGCCTGACAGTATGCAGGCAGACGTGGAGCAGGAGAAGGAGCTGAGAGTTCTGCATTTGGTCCACAGGCAGCAGAAGGTGACTGAGACACACTGGTAGCAATTGAGCTTTTGAGACCTCAAAGCCCACCTCCACAGTGACACACTTCCTCCAACAAGGTCACATCTACTCCAACAAGGCCACACTTCCTAATAGTGCCACTCCCTATGTGCCAAGTACTCATAAACATGAGTCTATAGGGGCCATTTCTATTCAGACCACCACAGGATCCAAGTGCCCACAGCAGTGACTCACAAATGTCTGTAACTGTAGTTAAAGGAACCAAACGCCCTCTTCTGGTACCCACACACACACACACACACACACACACACACACACACACACACACACACCTCTTTCTTTGGGGATTAAACTGAGGACCTCACATTTGTTAAGAAAGCACTGTATCAATGAGCTATATGTCTGTAATTTCCCTTTGTTTTTTATTTTAAGGGGGGGCTCTTACCAAATTGTCCAGCCTGGCCTTGAGTGAAAGATCCTCTTGTCTCCCTCACAATTTGTGGCAGAAGAGGGTACCCACACCACCACGCCTGGCTTTCCATGTATTTTTCCCCCAATGTGTAAAACTGTAAAGGTGCTTGCTGTTATTGTTTAAAATAACAACCAACAACAGCAGAAAATATACCCCCCCAAAAAAAACAAACAAGCAAAAAAATCCTTTATTGAAATGGAGAGCCAGGCTTGGTGACTATAACCATAGCCATCCCAGTACTTGGGAGGTGAAGTCAAGAGGGTCAAGAACCAGGAGTTAGGGGCCAGCCTAGATTCAGTGTGTCCGAATAAACAAAGGAACACCATAATCCCAACAAAGTCCAAACAAACAAAAAAAAACAAAAACCCCCGTCTTCCCTTCAAAAGAAACTCATGCCAACCTGGAAATTACTTTGTAGCCAAGGAGGATCTTGAATTCCTATCCTCCTGCCTCCACCTCCCAAGTGCTAGGCTCATAGGTTTGCCACCAGCAAGCCTGGTTTGTGAAGAGCTGGGGATCCACTTGAGAGCTAGGCAAGCACTCCACTTCCCAAACCCCAAACCTACTCACTCCCCCTGGCCCCGCCCCAATTAGAATCCTAAAGCCAAACCAAGGAAACAAAACTAACCAGTGATCAACAGCAAACTTTAGTGGGGTAGGAAGAATAAAGTGGATGCCCCTGAATTCACTCAGTTGACTCTGATTTCTTTCTCTGGCCTAAGAAATTAAAGAATCAGAGGGCAGGTTCGGATTCCAGTCTTAGTCACTCCTGGGTCTCGGGAAAAGAAGGTGGTATGCAGACAGAGCAGGGCCATAAATCCTTGTGTTTACAGAAGTGTGGGTGAGCACAGAAGCAGAAACTGGGGTAGCCAGAGATCTTCCAGGGCCCTAGCAAGAAAGACACAAGGCTTGGCTCCGAAAGTAG